TCAAGTATTTCCCACATTTTTCTTCTTGTACTTTTAAACAAGAACAATACATAACCTAATTTGTTTCTACGAAACAAAGCAAAACGATTTACTGATATTGCGGTTTATTAATTAAATGGAGAGAAAACAAGTATTTTCGAGTTAAAACTTTCTTTTTTAACCCATAAAATTACGGAAAAATCAATCATATAAAATGATAGATAAAGTGATTTTTTCACGCCTAAAATAGGTAGATATTTAAAATTTGTTTGAAGTTTGATTTATGCGTTAAGGCGTAAAATGAAAAGCAAAATCTCAAATATTCTGCTAAAAAATATTATGAATTCTAAACGTGGAAAGGATTCATTATTCAATTAATTTTGTTGAAATATAAGATTTTGGCGTTGTAAATTATTGGCGCTAATATTATGTGTAAGTACAGTATGGTAGAATTTCATACAATGAATATATATTATATGCATTGCCATTACTATTATACTTGACTTCTATTTGAAGGTTTTATGAAATTCTATATACATTTTAGCCAGAAATTTTGTTAGTTGGCTTAATGCTCTCCCCCCCCCCCCTCTCTCTCTCTCTCTCGGTGGTCAAGTAATAATTATTACATATCTTGGACATTCTTCCAACAATAACTGTGTCAACAAAAACATAATTGAATGTATCCTGGTCATAATCTATTCAGTTATCATAAATAATTGAGAAAATTATTGTATATGGTTAATAAAATATGCCTTATGTCCAGAATAGCATGTTAGAACGGTAAAATTGGGTCAGTGATGAGCTGTCCCGTCTCCATGCCAACACCTAGCGGTGCAGATTGTGCACAATTAATATCAAACGATCGTCTGGTCGCAGTAATATCGGTCATAAATTGTGCCATTGACAGATATATGGTCAACACCAATGAAGTCGTTTTTCTGACTAAAGCACACAGAAAGGACTGTTGAAACGTATTTCGTTGCTACTTATGGATGCAAGCCTAATATTCTGAAGAAATATTATCCAAAAAACATCCTGCAGTTGTTCTTTAAACAGCTATCTTAAAAATACAAATCAATCCTTCTGTATACTATGTATTAAAATGTTTTTGGGGGTAAAAAGTTTTCAAAAGTTTTCATTTTCATTGAATATCTTTCAATAATAATAAGTTATAATATAAAGTAATTAGGATTATAAGGATTTCGGTAAAAAGAGAGGTATTATACATTTCAGATAATCGTTTTATATGCATCATTTACTATAACATTAAGTTTAAAAAATTCATACATTTACCAATCAAGGCATCCAATTTTCATTTAGTAGCATCTCTCCCTTATAGGTATTTAAGAAAAATAACTAATGATGCTGATCATATAGGAGGATTTATTTTGTTAAAACATTCTTGCAAAAATTTACAATCTGCATAAGAATGCTTCAAACAACGTTGGATTTGTTTGTTACGTGAAAAAAAAAATAACAGTGATTTAATACTTTAATAATTCAATTGTAATTTTTACAATGTCATATTATTTGCCCATCAATAATTTTTATAAGATCATTTGCTTTTATGACGTGGTGATGTATTTTTCTGAGTCATAGTCAATGTATTACGTATTTTAAAAATGTTTTCAAATACTTTGATAAACAAATTCATGAATATCTTATTTACGAACTCTTGTTTCTTGCACTTCAACTGATTTAAAATGATTTTCTAAATCTTAAAAAAGATTACTGTTAAGTTCTCTCAACTTTCTTTCATTACAACGCATTTGTCATATAATAATAATGTAAAGAAATCTTTCATGAAATAAAAAAGAAAGGTGAAATTTATTTCAAATGGTTAACAACTAAAATAACTTTAAGTTACAATGTAGTGAATATTTTGGGAAGGATGGGAATGATTGTAAACCGCCAAAAACAATTTTAAGCTAAGTGTTTAAAGGCAAAAGAATATCAGTATCAAGACCATATAGAAAAAAAACAGGTCTTGACTTACGGCTTACTGTTGTGCTCTGTTGTTGAAATGGCATGTATCATAGTAGTTTAAATACACTGTACCACAAACATATGTTCTCATCTCCTTCGCTTAGTCAATTTTTTCAAATTTTTTAAAATTAAAATTTGATTAGGTATTGTTAATTATGTTAAATTTAAAAATAGACTCTGGGGTATGTTTCCAGAAAAAATATATTAAAAACTTCATATATTTCTAAAACTTTTAAAATAAATTTATTAAACGTTAACGTAACATTACCCCCCTTTTCATTAAAATATGTAGTTTGGTCAAGCTTTTAAGAGAAGAACAGAAAAAAATTAATCCTTGATTAAAAATTATGCACTTTAAAATTTTGAATTTTACTAAAATCATTCAGATCTGATGAGGTAAACATATTTGCTGCTAAAATAGGCATTTAACAATATTTTTCTTTTTAAAAAAAACCTTTTAGGTATATACATGTACTATTTAATCCTAAATTTTGGCGGAATGAAAAATAAAATGTTAAAATCCTTAAGATATGCTTCGAATTGGTTACTTATATTACATTTTATTAACGCTAACAGTTCCTCTTCCCTCGTCCATATACGAATAAGGATACTGATGATGAACCTAACTTTATTAGTCATGAGTTAGCTGAAAAGATTACTGAAAGGTTCCCCAGAAAAAATGAACATATAGAGGGAAAATGTCCACTGAGAAAAAAAGATACCTATATACAGTTACTCTCTAAATATCAGTCTTTCATAAACCTTATTTTGTAAATTTGCAATTTAACTTAAAAAGATAATTTGCAGTGCTTACAATAAAAGATGCAATGATTTCTTGAAAATAGATATCGATATTTTATGTCTGAAGCTTCCCCAGGAAATAGAACTATTGTTTGAATTTAGCATTATCTCGAGCATTTGCCTGACTGTTTAAAAGAGCCCTAGTCCAAAAACTCTAATATCCTGATTAACAATTATTTCTCCAGCAAATTTCAAAAGTTTGTAGGGAAGCAATATTTTATTTTTTCTGACTTTGATTTCGAGAGCTAATTATTTGTTTTAAATTCTGGTAGGATTGAGACATTATCGTTTGGGTTTTGATAGTATTTTTATTGATATCGCAATTAATTTCAGATAATATGGGTTATGAAATGGAAAGCATAAATTGTATATCAAAAGAAAAGGATGAACCGGGATCTTTTCGACATGGTTCCTAATTTGTTTTGTAGCAGATCAAAAGGGACTGTAGAATATTAACGTATGTAGAGAAAGTTAATGAAACATGTAATTTCACGGGCCCGTATGCGATTAGCCATTCAATACCCTAAAGCCAACAACGACCTGTTCAAGTGTCATATTGTTTCACACTTCATTTGATTTGATTGTCCACTTTCTTAATTTATCTAAAAAGATTACATTATTGATGAAATATTGCGCAAATCACCCGATAGAATGTGTTGAAACGTGGACTCATATTCTGGTACGCATTTTCACCCTTTTAAAACTCTTTTATCATTTTTTATTTGGATGACTGCAATAAAATTTGGCAATATCTATAGAGAAAAATGTACACATTACTTAATCAATTTTATTAATTATGATTTCTATAGCAATAAACGTCAAATTTCAATCGATCTACTTAAAAACAAAAGTAATTTGATTAAATATTTATATGCTATCTGTATCAAATCATTTCCCTATGAATGTTTTCAAATGAAGATGAAATTTTAATGGATTTTTATTTGATTAGGAGTCTTTAAAACACTGACAACAATTAGAGAAATCTTTTTGTTATAAATGGTAAGAACCTTGTCAATACCAATCATTTAATGTGGCAATAGCTATGCATTTCACACTCATTTATTTTCATCCGTCATCAAATAATTCTAATATCATGGTAAATACATATTACTTCATGCCATTATCCAAAGAGCAAGATCTCGATTAATTGTTCCTTACAACCAGTATGTGAGCAAATTTAGCGCCGGAAAGACACGACCACAAGGACCAAGGCCGACGTATGACCATGTTTACTTAAATTCGTGTGATCAAAAGAACCCAATAATTGAGCTACACTTCAATGTCCTGTAATTGAACCACTAGCTACCCACTTACAATGCTCCAATCTGACATGCCTCTCGTCAAACCCTTTTAAAAAGAAACCTTTCCATTGTTTCTGAATTTCGTCTAATTTCAAAGGTGTATCAAATTCACTTTGGGCATTTTTTTTATACATATAATTTTATCTACACGCGTCAGAGCAATACACCTATGGACCGTTATAAGGGAAAATAAATTCCAGACAATGTAAAGATCAGATGAGATGTAGAATTAATCCTATCACCTGGGATGTGCTTTCTATCAACTTTTGCCCACTGGGAAAAAACACACCACGGTGTTTAACAAGCGTTAGCCTTTTTCCCTTATCTGTGAGATTTTACCATAAAACCGACGTAGGTTTCCATTGCCTTCTACAAATATTTAATTATATCGCCCATAGAAAATTATAACTGATTTCTATTTAGATAGTCTTACCTTGCTTTCAGCAGGAATACACAGTAATCGAATTTACTAAATATTTTGGATGTTTTAGAGATAAAATACTTTAATAGAACTTTGAAATAAAACAGAGAACAATATGATTTTTATTCAAATTTAAACCGTTGTAAAATTAATTTATATATTTTTGCGGTCATAGTCGCCCTGGTGGCAGTTAATATATATTTTTTTGAAAGTTTTAAAAGTATGAAAAACGATATTTTTAATCTAGTTTTAAGGTCATTTAATGAAGCATTTATATATCGTGTGCTTTACAATTAGCGTTCTGTTTAACTCGCTGTCAATCAATCAATCTACTCGATCGACTTTGATTTTACTACAATGTAAACGGACGGCTAGAGGACATGCCGAGACGATATGCATATGTAATTTACTGATCAACTTTCCCTCCCACTTCACTTAGAAATCAAGGAGCTGCAATCTGATTGGCTGTCGGCAAATCTCATTATTCATTACGGTCCGACTGTATAATGTCACCAACACCAGTTAACTATCAATATAGTGTGAGGTGTTAGGATATGTTATATTGTTGTGAACGAAGTGGAAACGGTCAAAGAAACATGAGTGCTGGACCTCTGGGTATGCTTGATGCTCGCTATGCCCACGGGTACGGGCTACTATCCACTCTTTCCGGGTATGCAGCGCATTTTGGGGGGCCGTTTGCATCCCTGGGATTCGGAAATCCGTACGGAATTGACTTTGGTTCTCATTCTGGGGGACACGGAGCGTACATAGAGGGGTTGATGTCAGCATCCTCCCCCACCTCTAGAAATTCTAACTCCTCTCTTCCATTAGGAAGCCCCTCCGCTAAAAGTTCGGTCAAATCCCCAGGTAAGTCTGGCAAAATCATTTTAGAATTATATAAAATAATTTTTAAAATTATATAATGAAAAAAATTACTATTACTTGTTTGTATTTCTTACTGAAAAAATATGACATTTACCCAATTCTCTAAATAACAGTGGTATTAAAAAAATTACGTTATTATTATGCAGAAACAATGATTGACATTTATGTTCTGAAACATTCTATCTTCAGCACGTCACTTGTAAATCATCACGTTAATTTTTAACCTTTCAAATTGAAATAAATTTTCAAGCATGATACAAGCAAAATTAAAGTGCATCAGAACTAAAAAAATATAACACATTATTTTTTAAATGCTTTCATAATTTTTACATAGCAAAACTAATGAACAGAGAATAATGTTCAAATATATTATTTTTTTATTACTTCAGATTCAAGTGATGACGACCGAGAAAGTGCTGCAGCAAAACGTCGACGAACGAGGACAAATTTTACAGGCTGGCAACTGGAGGAGTTAGAACGGGCCTTCCAGGACAGCCACTACCCTGACGTTTTCATGAGGGAGGCCCTGGCACTGAGACTGGACCTCGTGGAGTCCCGAGTGCAGGTGCGTGTTTTGGTTTGAACTCACTGTAAAGTACTAGTGCAGCACATCTGTGGCATAAGGCATCTGTTACAAAATTTAACTTAATACTGTATCTACGCCGATTTATAAAATAATTAAATAATAACCGTCATATAAATTCGAAGTCCTAGATTTCATTTTTAGATATATAAAAAAAAGACAGACAGAAATCAGAGCAATTCAGTAAAATGCGAATTAAAAAAAATATATTTCGTTTTATATGTTCTCAGAGTCTATTTTCAAGGAAACGTTTCGTTCAACTGGTTAGGCTTAATTAGGAAGAATTTTTAAAATTTTATAAATCTTTTATAAATATATAATTTATTAATTTCTATAACATTGTTTTGAAAATAAATATTATGAAAGACACAAAATGTAGCACTTAAGAAAACTAATTTACCCAATCAGATATCATTATTTCTGTTCATTTTCAAATCTTCTTAAATTTTAAAAAAATATTTACGCCCTGGTAGTCTCACTTCTGATAGAGGCGTAAGGGTTGCAAACTGGCGTGGATAATAGGGTATGGCCCCGTAGATCAAAGCTGGTTATAGCAACCAATTTTCGTCTTCAAAAATCAACTAAAAGCTATAATTTGGAATTTCACTCTAAAAGGTTCTTTCTTCAGTTTCATTTAATATTAATTTCTGCTTTCAAAATAAAATCAGCAGATGCATCCAAATGTATTTTTCAGCTTTATTTTTTTTTTAAAAAAGATTATTTTATATCTGAGGAAGATAAATATTGAATTTATTAAAAACCTGATACTTTTTTTAAAACATGCTTGTGTCGCAAAACTACTGATATTCAGCGTTCCAAAAAACGGCATTCATATGGCCTTACGAAAGCCCAAAGTGTCTTAGAAAATAATAATTCGATTTGTGGTATCAATGTCACCATGTGCTTTTTGTAAGTGACACGGGACGGTCCAGACTCGTAAAACAATGACCAATAAAACGAGGAAACTATTTAATCAGTCACAGGCAAATTAATTAGGGTCGTAAGAGATCAATCAGAGAACAATATCATCTTCATGGAATAACGCATACATAAGTGCGCCTGGAATGCAAAAATATACTCTTTTTATCGCCGCAATGACAGATTACTGCAATAAAGAAAGGTTTTCAATTGATCTATCCATTTCATCAATGTCCTAACCAATAATTGATACATATTTTTTATTGATCATATTATGACCAGAGGATAGTCATAGATAATGTGTTCAATGATAGGAAATCATGTATGTCTTCGCGGTTCTTCTTGAAGTGTTGAGCGGTGCGCGGCGAACGCGACACGGTACATGTAAAAATTCACACTCTGCGCGATTTATTGACATAGACTGGTGTGAAATTAAGACGGTATCCATACATGTTTCTGTAATTGCACCCCCGGCTTAAAAATGATAAATATTTTTTAGTAATGTTACATAATATATCTCAAAGAAAGTATTGTACAAGTATTGTTCCTATAATTGATACAATATATTTTGATTGAGTGATTTGGGGAAAAGGATGTACACTGTTATGATGATTAATTAAATCTTATCTTCATCTATTAAGTAGGGAAAACTCTATGAAGGTATAAAGAAATAACTTAAAGGAATAGAAAAAAATATTAAAATGAATGTTGCCAGAAAAAAAAAACAACAACATAATTTCTATTGATATGTTTCGTTGTTTCTAAATATATTCTAATTTATGTAAATTATTTAATTGATACGCTTAATTAAGTATTATTGACAGGACCAAAACCACAATAAAAAGAAAAGTATCGGATCTCATGCCGATCTATTTGTGTCAATAAATATTACAAACAATTCATTTATATACGGTTGTCTTTTCCCTTTTTTCTTCGCTACGTCTAATTCCGACGATAATAATCTATTTGTTTTCTGATCGTTTCCTCTATTTTATCATCTTTTTTTGTGGAAAGGAAATTGTTATGTCTGTAGAGATGCAATTTTCCGAAAAATCCCCCTCGAATTTCTTCGGTACTTTGCTTCTCTCCGGAAACAAATTTTGGAGGTTGATTGAAACAATTCTCGACAGGAAGAGTATCGAAAACGAGGCGCCGCCAAAAAAGGGCATCAAATTCTTGTAAAATAATTGAACCACAAATGAGGCTGTCGAGATTGTTGGCACAGACCAATCGCTACATAGCACTCCTTTATCTCCGATCTTTTTCTTTTGTTTCCATAGTCTTCATGTTAGATATGGGTGACTAATCGCTGCGTTAACTAAAAGTGTTAAAACGGGTGTTTGACAATTAACGCTCATTAAGATTGTGTCAAATATTGAAGAACTTGGTACAATTCGCCAAATTCTTTCTTCCTATCTCATCCAAATGGAAAATAACTTGTCAGTGGGTCTTTGTTTTTTAAGTTTGTCAGTTCGATTAGGTCATTGCTCCTGAAAGCTCTAAATTAATTTTGAAATAATTTTTTATGCAATGCACATATCCCTATTATTTTGACATTATGTTTTATAATATGAAGAACCACTTTTCTCCATTATATATAGTATATTCCTGAATTCAGTAAACATTAAAAACCTTTTTATTTTTTCATTGATTTTATACTCCAAAACCGTAAAATAACTATTTATTCCCAATTTTATTTATTTCTTAGTTTCAATTCATATTTTAAGTTCAATTTTCGGCGTTTCTTTTTTTTTTCACTGAGTACACACCACCAGCCAAACCTCCTAGAAAATAAAGCATTATTTCCTCCTTTACTCTATAGTATTTGCGCACATGATTTTAAGGAGCAATGCTGGGGTTAATCTGTTTGTTCGCGTTCACACCAGAAGCCTCGGTAGGTCTTTGAACAGACCTCGCACCGGTGCGGTCTTGTCACATTACCTGCTATTTGTTCTGCCGTATCAACGATGGTCAAAGAGCTTAGCATCGTAATGGCTTTTACGGGATAATGAAGATTTATAAATTATGTTTGAATTTATTCTATTTACCTTTTACTGACGCCTGCCTATGTTTAGTTTTCTTTTCTTTGAACAATAAATCACCACGCGACAAAAATTAAGCTATATAATAATTGATACAAAACGTTTTAATTGGGAAAAATGAATATTTATTTAAAATAAATTTATTAGATTTATTTAGTTGAGTTTTTTTCTTTGCTATCTTAATCGTGTACAAATTTGTTTTTGAGATTCATGTGTAATTTTATTATTAAAATTTAATTCTATAATCCAACTTTAAAAAAAAAAACCTGTTTCAAGCTCTTTCTTTCTTGTTTCATACGATGCATCAGAGTACTAGTGTAACAATAAATATACTGAATTATAAGGAATTAAGAAATAGGAAATACTCATAATCGATGATGAATAATTAAACCAGACCTAGTCTCTAATGAGCATATATTGACGAGCGAGTTTTGTGTTAATTTTACATCTACAAAAAGTTGTGATAAATTCTATCCATTCTTCATTGATAAAACTGCCACACTTTCTCTACTACGAGGATTTTTGGGAGAAACTAAATTTTTATTATCTTCTGGTTTATTTCTGAAAATTTCTCAATTAATATTACATATAAATCACCTAAGTAAAAAGAAACAACAATGCACATACGTAGAGAACGTTATTTGAATATTGATTAGGTAAAATTTTTAATTGAAATACAACATAGAGTGGGTGATAGGACGTATGCTAATGAATAGCAAAATTTAAAACTTCCGACATTTTTAACAACAAAGTTTTTTGAGCCATTGATATGCATATCATCTCTTTTTATTAAAAGAATACACCGATTGACATGAAGTCAAAAATTTAAAAGAAAGCGGAACATGATGACTAAATCAAAACAAAGAATCTAAAAATAATTCTAAGGATGACACGCCTATTCAAAATAAATAAAAAGTTTAAAAATTGTCCACAGTCAATCGGGTGCGTATGAATTTCGGATTGAATAAACCTTAACGTCTTAATAAGATAACCAAATATGCAATAAAAGAGTCTTAAACTTCATGAATTACCATATAATCTGACAAATAAATACCTTTACCTCGTTAACAACATACAAATTACTTGATAAAGTAAATAATACGTCTTGGACGTCCCATAAATCACTAAATAATTGGCCATCTCCCCCGACCATGTGGTGCTAGGACGGGTAGGCTGTAGTTTTCCGGATAAGCTTGACAAGGCATAGGCTGCATGCTGTTTAAGTTTTTGGTTTAAACCCATAATTTCACGACACAACATCTGCCCAGATGTGGACTTAATTCAATTAAAATATGGCGTACTTATTTCAGCATGGACGGAATGAATATACCTCTAAAAGTTTTTAGGTTACACTTCGCAGCACCGCGCGTCTTAGGTTGAGGGGAAAAAACGATTAAGGGCTGCATTCAAAGATGTATAATCTCACTAAATTAAACAGCGTTTATGACAACAACACTATCACAATCGCAACAAAATAAATGGCTTTTTTTTTAATTTTAAAATTTTCTCACATTACCCCAAATTTTATTCACAAAGTTTATTCTCTCTTTTTCTTACAAACTTGACTTGTAAATCGTGTTTACTATAACAAAAAATAATTTAAATTTCCATAAAACATGATCTCTAGTAATAAAAGCATTTATTCGTATATGAAAATGATGAAATGTTACTAAATACATATATATCCTTTATAGTGGATATGGATATATTTGGTATGACAATTCATTTTAAAAAAATTCGCCTCTTCATTGTTAAAATTCGATTATACACCCTTTAAAATATCAAAAATGACGAAAGAAAAAATAGAAAATTGTTAAATTGAAAAGTGAAATTCCCGTCACCTTTAGGAAAATCAAATATGTCGACAATTGGAAACGAATGATTGGAGTCAGTTTGTCATGAGCATGGTTAAGCTCCTCCACACACGCAACCGCTCACCAGCACCGTGACATGGAAGGCTGCGTTTATCCACTCAATACGTGTCGACTGTGAACCTTCTATCAATATGTGATCTACAGTATCATTAGTGCTATCATTATGCTTCATTTAAATTTTATTTCCTCGGAGAGACATTTACACTGAGAAAAAATGAGGGAAATTGAAAGAATATTTCAGTGAAATTACTGCTAATTACTTTTAACACAAAATGCCGACCCAAAGCTACATAGGAAATTTAAGTGTTTCAAAGCATACTCTATTGTTGAATTGCGAGGGAAAGAATTTACTAGGACTGATAAAACATCTAAACCACTACCCATTCAATCGACCATGATTATCCTATGCCATAAAGATAAAACGAGATCAACTTGAAAATACTTGTCTACGAACCTTACATTTTGATAAAATACCTCCTTGACAATTTAATTAAATGTTTTGTGTATTCTCTAAAAAATATATGAAAATTAAATTATCATTTTTTTTTTGACACCTTTGTGTACAATAAGCTAAATTCCCACAAAGAAAGGAAATTAAGTATTAGATATTTCATTCTTTTTTGACATTTGTGTCATTTAGGTCCAAGTTTGATTAATTTAATTTAGTGAGTAAGTGTCATTTATTTTTCTTTCTATTTTTCTGCAGGTTTGGTTTCAAAACAGAAGAGCCAAATGGCGAAAGAAGGAAAACACAAAGAAAGGACCAGGCCGCCCTGCGCACAATGCTCATCCACAGACCTGCAGTGGCGAACCAATGGACCCCGATGAAATCAACCGCAGAGAGCAAGAAAAATTAGAACGCAAGAAAAGGAAACAGGAAGAGAGACTCCGAAAGCTTGAAGAAAGGAGAAAACAAATGCAAGATCAAAAACAAGGTCCATTTAACAGACTTTCAGAATCCGAAACTCCACAGTCAAAAACAGATGTGTCTAATACGTCGTCCATTTCAAGTTGCAATGACAATTCAGAAGTTTCTAACCGCGATAACATGGAACATGACGAAGAGGATGAGGAAGACCAAATTTCAGATCAGGAAAATAGAAAATGTTCATTTAGCATAGACAGTCTTTTAGAAGCTTCAAAAGTTCCTCGTGGCAGAAGACCCAACTCAAAATATCCCCGTGTTCAGGCAAGCAAATCAGTTAATGCTCTTGGTTTGGGCATGATGCCTTTGTTTCCAATTACACAGCCAGTTGGATTTATCGTGGAACAAAGATCGCATGGCCCTTTATCTGATGATGAAATGTCAATTAATTCTGACGACGAATCAGTACATGAAAATAACTCCTCAAACGAAGACAGTCATATCAACGTGGAACAATTTAGTGATGCGGAGGAAGAAGTCGAAAAATCACCTCGACATTGTAGCAATTCTGACCCCTGCTCATAGCATCAGCTACTCAATACAATGTGTATTAACTTGTAATTTCTTTCCATTTATCTGAATACAATAGAGGAAACGAGTTACCGATTCATTCCCATGATAAAATATCAATTGTATCAATTATCATAACATTTGACTACATTTCCAGCCTCTTGCTTCTGGAGGGCTAGTGCAATGCTTTGATTGTAAGTCGCTTTTGTATAGTGTTACGCATGGTGTAACCCAGAAATTATCTAATTTCCTTGGAATAGATAAGGAAACATTATTTATGTTCATATGAATGTTAACATTAAAACAGATATGTGATTGTGTATTTGTTTCTTTCATATTGTTTTATACCATTCCTTAAGTGGTTTAGAAAAATGAAATATATTTTGATATTTTAGAAATAGCGTAATGAGTAGAATTAATCCAAATATACTAGCAAGTTTCATGATGCCGCTACATCATTTTGAAAAATTATTGCATTATATGGTGCAACACACGATATTGGTAAAATGAAGAGTTCATACTGAAGGAGAACAGTTTGTACGCAAAATGACATTTTGTAAAGACAGTATTAGTTGAAAATTAGAGTAAAATAATTGAATTATATCATAGTTGAAATATGTCATCAAATAATATAATTTTGAATGTCATTGTGGGGCGTGGAGACCGGTCCTTCGTATGAGACCGTATAAAACGTCGCAGCAGGTGCTGACACGAAAAAGATCCCACATGCTCAATGGTCATGGGTGCCGAGTAGAGGAATAATTTTGCAGCTATCCACTGGCAAATGGCGGCGTCTCTATATGAGTGAAAAAAAAATTCAAAAAAGAGGTTAAACAACAAATATTGTTAGTAACATGCAATTATTTAGTGTATAATGTTTTTCCTACGTCACAATGACTTACGTCAAAACGTATCAAACCGCTTGACGTTATATATGACATTTGAAGAATAAGATGGTCCTTTTCATGGGAAAATTGTCTGATTTAAAAAAAAAACTGTAAGAAGTACATTTTATCGTTATTCAAGTCATACTTGTATGACATGGGCTGGTACAATTTACTCTTATACAAACTGCCTCCTGGTTTACAAAGATTCTTTAAATTTATTCATTAATTTTCAAAATAAAACGACCCAGTATTAGAGTTAAAAGGGATGAGTCTAATTGTTAGAAATAAGAGTAGGCAGTAGAAATTAGTCAGAGGAGAAATATGAAATTATGTAACCAATTATCAAACAAAGAATATAATTCCCCATAAATGATTTATTGTTGGAAAAGGTTTAACAATGAGGAACTGCAGTATGCATGCAAAATGACTTTCTGAGGGCAAAGGAATGAGATAATTACTTGAAAATGAGAACAAAAAAGTTGAAATACGTCTTAATCGAAATAAATTATTATCTTTACAATAATATAAAGGAACTCTTTAAATAATTTATCAGAATTAAAAATGTATTATCCAAAAAAAAAAAAAATAATGAGTTGCAAGAGGTTAAGAAACATTTTAAGAACTATTCGAAGCAATTACAATAAAAACAACTTTTAGTTGTTTAAAGCAACTTTAAAATGGTGTATTTTACCACTATTTTGCTACCTAAACTTAATTCTTTTTTAGTGTAAATCACATGCTTTTCACAGTGTCTGCTCCTCATTCTTTATATTGTATCATTTGATGGATTAGAGATGAAAATCAAAGGAAAAGTTATGATAAATCCGAATTCTTCGCATTGCATAAAATATTTGATGGATAAGGAAACTTTTGCCAGAGATAACGTATATTTCTAGACTGAATGGAGACGCGTTCAATATTCCATACAAGTCACATTGTTCAGGGGACAAAACGGGGAAGAACACTCCACGTAGATTTAGCAATCATGCAGTAAACGCAAGCACCTTGGAAAAATGGGAAAACACCCACTAGAACATGCAGAACAGTAAATTCTTGAAAATCGCTAGTGTGTAAATAAACACGGACTTTATGGTGAAAAGTAAACAATTGTGATTTAGTTTTATCACAGGTAAGAGATATCTTGTTTCGACAACACAACAGAAAGAAATATAGACAATGTACTTTAAAAATATTATATGGTAAAAATTTATCGCATGTAACATTCGGCTCGGAAAATAAAATTATAAACCATTTAAAAATTTACTTTTCGGTACTGAGTAAATTCATTATTCGTACTGTTCACTTTTTTGCGCTAGAATTGGACTGGAAGAACATGACAATACATCTTAAAAATGTAAAATGCAAGGACACTGCTTCGCTAAACGTTTATTTTTACATCACATAATACGACTCGAATTTACAGTAGCATTAAAAAATATCCCTCACCCCTCAAATACTGTAGACATACTTTTTTCCGCGTGGTATTTATTTACACTATGTACGCGGTTACAGATTTTCCGCGGAAATTTGTCCAAGCGTTCTTAATACAAATGTACGGCATAAAGTGACAGTCCTAGAAATCCGCGTAATTTTCTACCCGCGGATTTAACAGAAATTGAGATTCCGCGGAATTATGACCCCGTGGAAAAAAAGTACGTCTACAGTAATATATGCTACATTACAGTTTGCTTGTTGCCCAACATTTTCGAAACTTTTTCTTTAGTACATTAACAAAATTGTCTAAATATTCAGCATTCATCATTATTTAGCATATGTTTGAAGTCCCGAAATTTTTGTAACTTTATTGAAAATTTACATGAAACTTTGTTGCAGTTTTACAAAAGCAAATTCATTTGTTTTAACCTAGTTCTACAGAAATGAATTTATATCGAATGTTACGGTGCTGAATATTTTTCAATAAATTGATTGAATTGAAAGACAATGTACAGAAATCAACCCTTTTATAGATTACCAGTTAACCAGTTTATAAATATCTTTTTGGTTGTTCTATAACAAAACAGGGATCAAAACAACATAATATTATAACATAGCTATTTCTGATTTTAAATCTATATAAAGTGAAACCAAACTCTTTTTCCCCATAAACTTCAGTAAAAGGTATCGAGAAAGATAAATATCAGAATAATAGTTTTACGTTTATCTACATGCATAACATGCCGAAACAGAAAACATTTGATTCATAAAACTGAAAGATATGTGATTTGAAAAGAGAAAAAGAGAAAAGGAAAATTTTCACATACACTATATCATTTAAATTTCTGAAAACATTCAACGTAATATTTTTAGAAAAACGCAAACAAGAAAACAAGAAATAAACTTAAAGGCATGAAATAAAATTCGGTAATAATTTATTCGGACTCTATAAATATGTTGATTGTAATTAGTTCTAAGAAATAATAATGAAACACCAATCTGCATCATATAATTATGCAAGATTTACCCTCACCATATCATCAATTACATGTTTATATTACATAATTAAAACAGAAACGGAAATTTTAAGTACAGCTGAATAGATCAGTCTTAGTGCATTTAATCTCTCGTATCATCCTACATTGGACCTCTCGTATATTCCAAGACTGGATTAAAGTGGTTCAACCGTCTCTGACAATGGTCTTTATGAGGACAACGGTTGATCACATCGGTCTTAGCATCATTATGTGGCGACCAAAACGTTTAATTTTCCCTAAATGATGAACCTTCTCTTCAAGACGAACCATTTGAAATAAATTTTCTACAGAAATCATTATATGCATTACTTTGTTGTAAATATAAGTATTATTTTCGTATGTTTGTTTTGACTTTTCCTGTCCTTTAAATTGTTTTGAATTTTATTTCAGCTAAAATCATTTACAATAGATTTTAAGCATCAAGGTGAGGTACACTGTACTGCAATAGTATACCCCACATAAAAAAAAAAACCCTCACAAAAAAGCAAAACGAATCAAACAAAATTGATGAAACTTCTGGACATAGCTGAAAGCATGTCATGCTCAGAGCCTGTAATTTTTCATTGTATTGAAAATGGAGCCAAACATGAAGATCATTGAGTGCATCCATAAATCATAATGTGCGTATCATTTACAGTTCAAATGAAATAACTGCATGGTTATTAGTTAAAATTTGCTCCGATAAATTAGCATGACGTCAGCAAACAAAAATCATTTATAGGCCTTCATATGGTACAGTAAAGTCACCAAAAATAAAAGCAAATTATTAATGAAACTTTAAATTGATTTATTTTGAACTATAGTATACAAAGCATCAATTAAACATACTTATTTGTTAGCTATTTTAATGAGTTTTTCACCGTGAAACTATATTAATATATTTAGTTATGGTATACAATTTTTTGAAAGAACCCTATTATTATATTTTTGTGGACATTCTCGCTTGTATACTATACTACATGTAACTTATCAATTTTGAGTTGTTCGACTTAAAATCAAGTAGTGTAATCAAGTAGAGTGTCAAACATAATAAATAAATGATCTTTATTTTCTCAATTGTGCATTACGCTTTCTAAGGCAATCTTTAAATGAATGAAAAATGTGAAGATAACGAACAGAGTGTTCGATCTGAAAAAATGTAAAAGCAATACAGAAAACGGAACCCTCGAAATCCCAGAGGTGGATCTATAAATAGTAGGCATCGCTTACGTTCTGTTCTAAAACAAAGACCTAACAACTGAAATGACATATTTCAGCCTAAACACGACCAAATGATAGGTTTTATTGGGTAACAGTGCCAATACAGCGACCATATGCAGCATTTACGAATTAAATGCAGTATGCCTTTAAAAAAGGCTGCTGAAATTCCTGTAACATCAGCGTATCTGTCAGTAGCCTGCCTCGGTTTAAAATTTGATTAATCTCAATATTTTCTTGAGAGGCGAATAAGTTGGGTAAACACTCTAAAATTAAGCAGGTTATTTAAGGAATGAATAAAATAGCAACCCTAGTTATCTGTATAATCTGGGTTGGGGCAATTTACGCTTTATAAAGCGCGAAGTGTCTTATAAAAAACGTAAGCTGCTTGCGTAAGTATAACTTGAATGCTATTTAGTTCATTCCTTATAATTTAATTTTTAAATCATTAAATATAGAAAACAAAACAATTTCTACCTTAAAAACGTCTTCAGATTGTTCATACTTTAAACGTAATCAAGCGATTTGATTCGTTTTTGATCTAAGTCAGTGTGACGTGGGCAAACCAGGATATACAATTTAGATTAATTTTTTATCCAATCAAATGACGTGTTACAACTAAAATCAAATTATAGCAGGATATTACTAAATAAATGAGAAAAGAAAAGTTGAAATCGTCACATTTGTCATACAATCGAATTGTTGTTTGGTTCTTGTTGTCTATAGTCAGTAAAACATCCAAGTATGAAACAA